AGTTATATACTCAGACCACTGAGGTGACATTTGTTCATGTTGGTCTATTAACTATTAGATATCCTAGCTTTATTTCATGGCTGTTACTGGGGTGACAGACCCCCAACCTCACAACCTTCCCACTGTGTGTTTTTGTGTGTGTATGTGTGTCTATGTGCGTGTCTGTGCAGTGACTCAGGAGCTTTGGAGGAGGCAGAGTGAGGAGAGGCCGCAGTGCCGAATGACTTGGAGTGATTAGTCTAATTATATAACACGTAGTGAGGCCACTTTGCCAGGAATAGGGCTGTGTGTTTTCAGGGCCTTCTGACCACTGAGGTGTAGTATGGAAACACTGTAATGTTTACACTCAGTAAAATTATACCTGGTCTCAGGTGACTCTGCCTGAGAGCCTTTTCTAATCGCTCTGTCTGTTGGAAACTACTCTGAGCTTGTTTCCCTCCAGTCCTGTTAATGTGTTTACTGTATTGGGAAGGAAGACTGAGCAGTAGAGCGTCTCATCACCATTACTTTGTTTTGTTTGGAGACAAGGTCTCACTGTGTAGCTCTGGCTGCCCTAGAACTGGTCCATGCTCCACCACACGTGCCCAAGGACTTTTCATTTTCAACAGGAGCAGTAAACCTCAGTACTTTGTTAATGGGAATATCAGCATGAAAAAGCTTGTTTGGGGAACATGTTACAGAGTACATCGTTAACCAATAGTTTATCTGTTAATATACAGTCTTAGTCACGTTCACCCTAACCTGAACCAGCATTTCTCAGTGACTGGGTCCTGACAGGGAGGTACCGGGGATGAGAAAGACAGAGAAGATAGAGGTTGGGGTCTGGAGGTCTTTTACAGCATTGTCTCAGGCCGAGCAAGTTTATTAAGCAGTCCAGCATCATATTTACTGTTTACAAAGGGAAAATGGCCAAGGTGAGCAGAGAGTCAGATCAGGCAGTGTTGGCAAAGACAGCACAGGGCATCTCAGACCCAGCTGCCTTGGGACTGATAACCACAGCCTAGGGGAAAGATTGGTATCAGCTTCACCTCCTTTGAGGCACTGGCTCCAGCCCCTAGACCTGACTTGCCAAATCCACTCCTGGACAAGGACACAGAACTAAAGGTCCCTTTATCCTTTCACCCGGACTTCTGAAAAGGTCTTGGGCTGGGCTGGCTCTCCCACTCTGCCTACCATTTTCACTCCTCCAACCCTACTGCCCCAACACTTGACCTGCCCAACTTTATCCTCTCCTTCCTTCTATTGGCTCTTCTTAGTGCTGCCCAAGTGTGCACAGTAAGTGGGGCTGGGGCTGGCCGTGGTTGTCCTAGATAGCTTTGTCAGCTTGCCGTAGCCAAGAGTCAAAGCCTAGAGGAAAGCCTGATTAACTGCTTAGATCAGATTGGCCTATGGGTGTATCTGAGGGGGTCTCCCTTGATGATGACTGATGCAGGGGGTGGAGCCTGTCTGTGGACAGCATCATCCTTGGCAGGGATCCTGGACTGTGTAAGGAAGCTAGCAAGTTGTGAGCCCATGTTAGCCAGTAAGCAGCCATCTTCCAGGGATCTGCTTCATGCAGTGTCTCTTGAGTCTCCACCCGTGGCTGCCCTAGTCAGGGTGAGTGTTGCTGTAATGGAACACCATGGCCTCAAGTAGGGTAGGAACTGCAGGCAGGAGCTGATGCAGAGGAGTGCCATGGAGGAATGCTGCTTACAGCTTGCTCTGCCTGCTTTGTTACAGAACAGAAGAGCACCAGCCCAGGCATGGCACCACCAATAGCAAGCTGGGCCCTCACCCATAAATCACTAGTTAAGAAAAGCCCTATCTTGTGGAGGCATTTTCTTAATCGAGGTTCCCTCTTCTTGGATGACTCCAGCCTGTGTCAAGTTGATGTAAACTGACCAGTAGACTGGGACCTTGAAGTATAAGCCAAATAAATGTTTTCCTTCCTTACGTGGGTTTTGGTCAGAATGTTCTATCACACCAACAGAGATTAGTACAACAGGCAGCCTGCCAAAGACCATATCCCCAAGGTGAATGACCTGGCCCCTCCCTCCAGCCGGCAGCAGCCAGTAAGGCCTTTGTTAGGTGTGGATCCTGGCCTCCCCTCCTTCCACCATGCTGAGCTTTGACTGGCTTGACCTTGCGCAGCAGACCGTGCTCCCTGGCACTCCTCTCCATCCTCCCGCTGTACAGTCTTTCTGCCTCCTCTTCATGAGATGTCCCTGTGGATGGAGAGGATGTTCCATTTAAAGCTAATTGAAGGAACACTTTTGTACATCCCTTGAGCGCCTACTGTTGAAGATACCTGGATTATTTAATTTCTACTTGTTTTCTATGTGTGGGTGTTTTGCCTGCATGTGTGTATGTGTGCAGTGTGCATGCGGTGCCCAGTGGAGTTCAGAAAAGGGCATTGTATCCCTGGAATTGCAGTCAGAGATGGTTGTGAACCTCCATGAATAGAATCCAGGTCCCTCCAAGAGCAGCCAGTACTCTCAACCTCTCCAGCCCTGATGTCGGATTCTTGTGTCTGTATTTAGTCTTTGTATTTGCATGGCCTGTGGGAAACCCCATTGCATACTCACACTGAAAAGAAAAGGAAGGAAGGGAGGGAGGGGAAAAGTCAATAACATCTTAGATTAAACCATTAATACTTGTTTGAAGGTGACCAACAGCAATCGCTAAGTAGTCACTCGGCTACCTTACCTGGAAAGATGTCTTTATCATCATCATGACAACAACAGCAGCGTAGAGTGCTCTGGAAGTAGTTGATTTTGCAGGTTCCCTAGAAGGTCCCAGAATACCTGGGGGTTGTGAGTTACAGTTTTAGACCTTCTGATTGCTTCTGTTGTCATTTCCCTGAGCTTTCCTTCAGGTTCTTTGGGTGTGTCAGCTTATGCCTATAGTACTATAGTACTCAGGAGATTGAGGCAGGAGGATGGGAGTTTAAGGCTAGCCTGGACTACATAGCAAACTTAAATAGCAAAAAAGGAAAAAAAAAGTATACATTTCTGATTCTTGTAGCATTTATTAAAGTATCTTCTACCCAGGCATGGTGGTATATACCTATGATCTGGTAGGCATGGAGATTGCAAGTGTGAGGTCAGTCTAGGCCAAATAGAGAGCCTGGCTCAAGGAGGAGGCAGTTAGTGGAGTTCTCAATAAATAAAGTGAGTGAATTTATGCAGGCTTCAATTTAATTCATTATACAATTAAACTTAAAATAGAAGACCTCTGCAGTATATGTGTGGGTTCTACACTCAAGCATAAACCTATTTTCAAGTTTTTAGATGTATCTCTGAGACTGGCTAAGCCAGTACATCCTGAAACTGCTCAGCCCCCTGCACTTGGCTTGCACCCGCACTGCACTGACTTGTGTGTGCCCACCCAGCCCCTCAAGTCCGCTGGCAGCAGTGACTGGCACTTCTCTTGTGACTTCTCCACTCCTTACTCAGTTTCCATATCTCTATACACAGTAGATGGTTAAAAGAAGCGGTTACATGTACCATAATATAGTTCGAGAAGGTGTATGTCCGTTTAGACATTTTAACTGAAGGAGCCATGAGTTCAAGTGTATCGGTAAGGCGTTCCCTTAGAAGATGAAGGGCAGGCTTGAGGAGTGGTTCAGTTGTTAGGAGCATATTCTGAGGACCTGAGTTCTATTCCCAGCACCCACCTCAGGTGGCATACAACTATCTGTACCCCAGCTCCAGAGGAGTGTGATACCCTCGCCTCTGGGCACCTCCATTCATGTGCAGACACTCTCCTTATACATAATTAAAATAATAAAAAGAAATCTTAAAGAAAAAAGAAGACAAAGGGTTCTGGATTCAGGCCTTGGCACCAAACAAAACTTTAAAAAATAAATTATTTGTATGGTTGTTTTGTCTGCATTTGTGTATGTCTGTGCTTTTAAGTACCCTAGGAAGACAGAAGAGGGTGTGGCTGGCATCCCCTGGATCTGGAGTTACAGATGGTTGTGAGCAGCTATATGGGTGCTAGGAATCAAGTCTGGATCCTCTGGAAGAGCAGCCAGCTCTCTTAACTGTTGAACCATCTCTCCAGCCCCCCAGTAAATAAAATACTGATCAGCGAGAGGTCATGGTCTCAGCACATGAGTTACTGACGTATTCTTTATTAATGAATTGCTTTGCATATACGTTTGTGTATCTTTTCCTTATGTTCCATGAGCCAGGGTCTCACTTTGTAACCAGAACTAGATCTCACTTACTGTATAATGTAGGCTTACATTCCTGAGTCATTTCTCCTGTCTGGAGGCATACTCCTAGCTAGTGCATAGCCACTTTAGGATGCTCTGGAGGAAGTCCGGCCAAGTCTCTTGTATTCTCCCTTTAACTATGCCATCTGGATACGACCAGCTGACATCTGAGTCGACACTGGTGTGCTTTGAGCAAGGCACTGCCCAGCACACCCTCAGGAACTGGTGACTTCAGGACTTAAGATCACTTGCTGCTCCTGCCAGTCCACGTTCAGTTCCCAGCACCCAGGCAGCCACATGGTGCCTTATAACTGTCTTCACTCCAGTTCTCTGAGCCAGACATCCTCTGTGGGCACACATACGTAAAATAGAAATAGATAATTCCAAAAATAAAGCAAGCAAACGAAAAGAATGTGTGGTCTAAGAGCAGATTTGTGGAAATGACTGGGAAGTGTGTTTTAGGCTTTGTGGGCTAAATTGTCTTATATCGACCATTGTGGCCCCAGATAGCCAAAAACTGCAGCGTAAGGGAACGATGGTGGCTGTATTCCAACAAATCGTCATAACTGCAAGCAGGACCAGCTGGCTGGTTCCTGGCCCCATGTGAGGGTTTCTTAGTTTCCTTTTGCGTCCCTTTTGCGTCCCACTGGAAACAGGTCCACGACAGCAGTTTCCACTGGGACTTCTATTGTGCAGTTCATTAGTTACGGTGAGATTATAAAAGACACAGATCATGTGATGCAATTCAGAAGGAAAACAACCTGAGTTTTTAATTCTTGTTTTACTCTTCTTTTTTTTCCAGGACATCTTATTTCCGTACATCAAAGAAAATGTCAAGGAGTATCTGCAGACACACTGGGAAGAGGAGGAGTGTCAGCAGGATGTCAGCCTGCTGAGGAAACAGGTTAGGACTTCCCTCTTCACATGCCACAGGCTCTGAGGACAGACGATGCCTGGAGACTTAGTGGGCTCTGAGCCTGTTGTAAATCGTGCCGGTGTCCAGGCAGAAACTACAGTGGTTTGCTGCCTAGGAATTCACAGCGTGTAATACGACAAGCAAGTCAGAACAACCTCAACCTGTCTGCAGAATTGCTTCTTTTCAGTGACTGTCTAAACTGCATAAAAGCCTCGTGCCTTTGTGAAATGAAGCCTTTCTGGTGGAAGACAGAAGGCTTTGGGCAATGTCAGGCTGTGTCATTAAGGTCACCAAGTGTCAGCAGCTAATTGATTTCTAATCTCCTACCTCACGGCAGGTGACTCTACCAGTACAGCGTCCCTCACACCCCACACCCTACCAGACTCCCCCAGTACAGCATCCCTCACACCCCAACACCCTACCAGACTCCCCCAGTAGTGTCCCTCACACCCCACACCCTACCAGACTCCCCCAGTACAGTGTCCCTCACACCCCAGAACCCTACCAGACTCCTCAACCAGCTACCGTTGGCCCAGTCTTCAAACTGCTCTTGCGGCTCCTTGCAGCCTGCGTTCTCTTCATGCACGTGATGTATGTGCTGTGCAGCCATCCTCAGGACGGAGACCTTCCATGTTCCATGCTGTGCAGCCCTCAGCAATGGCTTTCCTACTAGGGATTCGTAGAAAGCTGTCCCCGAGTCTTTTATTTATTGCGGGAGGTTAGGATTAGAGATGGTGTATTTGGGTTCGCTGACCTTCCTGCAAATCTTGAGGGTGTCTTTTATTGTCTCAACAAACGTTCTGTACATACATAGTCTCTTATGTTTGGATAATGCTTTGCATTATTACAGAGTCCTTGTAAATGAGTTATTGTTAAGTTTTACTTATTTCTCTGTGTGTGTACATGTGTGCGCAGTGCCTGCAGAGGCAAGGGGAGGGCATCAGATACCCCTGGAGCTGTCAGCCATCTGACATGGAGTCTACTGGGGACCCAACTTGATTCTTTTTTATTTTTATTTTTATTTTTTTATTTAATTCAAGATGGTATTTATCTGTGTAGCCCTGGCTGTCCTGGCTTGTTCTGTAATCGAGGCTGGTCTTAAACTCAGAGATCAGCTGCCTCTGCCTACCAAGTGCTGGGACTAAAGGTGGACACTAGTATGCTTGGCTTCAGCTCGGGTCTTCTGCAATGGCTACTGATGGCCCTTTACCAGAGCAGTGTCTTTAATAACATGTCAGTGCTCTAACCTCCAAGCATTTCCCCAGCACTGTGCTGAGAGAGGCAGACGGGAGCCAGGACTCTTATTTTTGGGTTTCTTCCCATTAGCCATAAAGTAATTAATAATACTTTTTCCTGTTTGTTCTCCAGTTAAAGCACTGAGAATATGATCAGATTTAATTATAATCCTAGTTTGTTTATGCTATCAAGTGATTCAGTACCCCAGGACCTACAATCATTGTATGCCTTTTCTTATACAGCATGCCTTTGGGTTAGCGGGCTAAGAAAGACAACACAAGCTTCTATCTTAGGATCACATATTTTTTAAACATCTTAATTGGGGGGAGGGGAGGAGAGAGTGTGCCACGGAGCACTGGTGGAGGTCAGAGCAGTTTGAGAGCCATTTCCCTCCTTTTGATCACTCGGTCTCAGAGATTGAAACTCAGGTCATTGACTTGGTGGCAAGAGCTTTTTACCTGATGATCTATTTTGCCCAGTCATTCCTTTAAGAATAGTTTTTAGCAGTTCTCAGGATAATAGATTGCAGGAGAAAACTGATCTGCCTGACTTTTGTTGAATCTTTTTTTAAACATATTTATGCATGGACATATGTGTGTGTGCAAGTGTGTGCATACAATGCTTTGTAGATGTGCACATGGATAAACTTGATTTCTCTCTGATTTAAAGGCTGAAGAAGATGCACATCTGGATGGGGCTGTTCCGATACCTGTGGCATCTGGCGGTGATCTGCAGCAGACGATCCAGGCCGTGGTAGACAATGTAGACTGGCAGATGTCTCATGACCGCAAGACCACGGCACTCAAACAGCTGCAAGGCCACATGTGGAAGGCGGCTTTCACGGCTGGCCGCATGAAGGCAGAGTATGTGCTCTAACGAAAAGACCGTTCAGAGCCCCCAAAGCCAAGTACAACCTCACCGTCCCTCTCCCCTGTTAGGTGCACGGTTAGAAGGGGATGGAGTTGCCAGGCACGCTAGCATGCACGCTGAATCCGAGCATTTAGAAGGCAGAGGCAGGCAGATCTGAGTTCCAGGCAAGGAAAGGTTACATAAAGAGACCCTGGAAAAAGAGAGGGAGGCAGGGAGGGTAGGGAGAAGGGGGGAGGGGTCACATCAGTATTGTCTTTTTGTAGCAAGTGAGTTGTTGTCAGAAGTATTTCAGTGTAGTCCCCTGATCTGCATATGGAGCTTTGGGTGGGTGGGGGGTGAAAGACTCTTAGTTCTGTTTTAAAACAGTTTCCTAAAAAGTGTCAAACTTGGACCTTGTGTGGTGGTGCACATCTGTGGTGTTAGCACTTGGGAGCCTTCCGGGTCCCAGCGGCAGCACTGTTGCCCTGCCTCTCACAGCCATCGAGCCTTTTGCAGACAGGAGAAGTGAGCGGCCTGGAGAGACGGCCCAGCAGTTACAAGCTTGCTGCTCTTACAGAGGGCCCAGGTTTGACTGCCAGCACCCATAACCCCAGTCCTAGGGGACCCAGTGTCCACTCCTGACCTCGGGCATGAGGCACACACATGGTGCATAGTCACACATGTACAAGCAAAACAATCATACACATAAAATAATAAGTGAAACCAGAAAAAGAGGGAGACCATGTACTACACATGAAATAACGAATAAAACCAGGCAGGGGAGAGCCGTGAGGTGGCACACCTGTCACTCGCCGTTACTCAGCACTGCTCCTTCCTCTGCTCTTCCCAGCACCTTCATGATCTTTGTGTCTCGGTGATGTGGTTCTGAGATTTACAAACAGTCTAACAGTCTCAGGCCAGTCACATGGCTTAGTGAGCAGGCGAATGCTGCCGGCTGCCAGCCTGAGTCCCAGCCCTAGGATCCACACTGGAAGGAGGTGACCACTACTGCAGGTTGACCTCTGATCTTGATGTGTGTGCTGTGGCATGGGCCTGTGTGTGCAGGTGTGTGGATGCACATACTTACACACAAGATGTAATAAAAAAAAGTAAGATAGGGATTTATTATCTGTGTATATCTGTCCGTTCACCCATCCATCCGTCCATCTATCTATTTAGACATACCTATCTCAGGCTGGCCTAGAACTTGCAGTGTAGCCCAGCATGGCTTCAGAATGGGAATTTCCTGCGTCAGCCTTCCGAAGGCTGGACTTTATAGCTGTTTGCCTCTATGGACACATGACTGACCTGAGAGATTCCTGTTGTCTTGGAAAGGATTTCATTCAGTTGACTGATGTAATCCTCATATTGAGGGCCATTTTCAGTTGCCTGTGTTTCTTTTTACGTCATGCGTTTGTTAGATGAGATGTTATTTTATGTTGCTACAAGAATCTGCCTTTTAAAACAAGCATTGGAATTTCAGGTATGCCTTTGCATACACTCAAGAAATACTCAAGCAAGACACTAAAATGAATCCTTTCAAAATGGGGAGGAAAGCGTTTTCATGTTTCTCAAAGCACAATGAAGGTAAATTAGCCTCTTTTTGTAAATTATAATAACACAGTATTGTTTATGTTGTCTATTTTTATTTTAGCTCCTTGAGAATGAGAACATAATCACTTTCTTAGGTTTGTGTAAGTCTCTTGTTTGACTGTATGTTAAGTACACCACGTACATGCCCTGCACCCGTGGAGGTCGGAAGAGGGCATTGAATTTCCTAGAGCTGGAGTTACAGGCAGTTGTGAGGCTCTGTGTGGGTGCTGGGAACAGACCCAGGTCCTCTGCAAGAACTCGTAAGTGCTCTCAGCTCTGACCCGTCTCTCCAGTCACGCTCACTTCCTTATTCTTACTCCTTCTTACCTTTTTTTTGGAGTTTTCTGAGACAGAGTTCTCTGTATAGCCCTGGCTGTCCTGGAACTTACTCTGTAGACCAGGCTGGCCTCGAACTCAGATCCACCTGTCACTGCCTCCCAAGTTCTGGGATTAAAGGCGTGCACCACCACTGCCCATACTTTTTTATTGCTAAACGCTATTCTTCCCACCAAACTTGTTGTTTTTAATCTGTGATCCTGGAAGTCGAGCAACCTGTTTGTTAGAGCCACAGGAATTCCCTGTCTCATGGAGTTGCTTCTCAGGTTATCATTCGAGCCAAGGTTAGGGAGTGTGTGGCATCTGTGGCCGGTCTGATTGTCAACTGGTGGGATGGTGTGGGATTGTCATGTAACTTGCTGGGTTTCCCTCCAGGTTCTTTGCAGACGTGGTTCCTGCAGTCAGAAGGTGGAGAGAGGCTGGAATGAAGGTGTACATATATTCTTCAGGGAGCGTGGAGGCACAGAGGCTGCTCTTCGGGCACTCCACAGAGGGAGACATTCTTGAGGTAGGGTACTTGGTGTCGACTTTGCTTGCTACTGCTGTGATAACTCCTCTGGCCAGCCACAGCTTGGGAGGATGTGTTTGGGTTACACTGCCACATCAAGTCATATGGGAAAATTAGGTAGGAACTTGGCCAGGAACCTGGAGGCGGGAGCTGATGTACAGAGCACAGATGAGGGCTTTACTCCCTCACTCTGCATGGCTTGCTCAGCTTGCTTTTTCCTGCAACCCAGGGTGTACACGCACGTACACACACACAGTGTAGGTTCCAAGCCATATGTGCTGGAGCGTCTGTTATTCCAGCACTTAGGAAGTTAAAGTAATAGTGTCACACTGTCAAGGCCAGCCTGCCTATATAGTGGGCTCTCTATCTCAAACACCAAAATAGGAAAAGCAGTGTTCCATGTCCTAGGAAGTTTGAGTTGTCAGTGGAGGAGAATACATTTAAATATCCACCCTAAGTAATTCTGATGAGGTTAGTACTAAAACCAGATTTTTATACACGCACGTGCGCGCACGCGCGCGCACACACACACACACACATATGTATACACATTGTATAAATTATAACTATATATTATATTTAATATATATTTTTTACTCTATATAAAAGATACATGTATATATGAAGACACTGACACATTAGAAAGTAGATGTACTATTTTTCTAATACAACAAATCAGCAGCTCAAAATTCCTCCTCTTCCCAGAAGGCTGACTAAACAGAATTAGTTTGGCTGTGAACGCTCTGGAGGAGAGTTAGAGCCCAGGGTTTCATGCAGTACTTGGAATGTGCTCTGTCCCTCAGCAGGGCTTCCGTCTCTGAGATCACTATTTTCTGGGCCCATAGTGGATATGCAGGGAACATTTTGGTCTTGGATAGTGCCATATTCTATATAGTTTATATATGTATATTCTTTTTGTCTTATATAGCAGATATTAGACCATTAATGGGACTCTTTAATAAATGATGGTCATTTTGTAGCTACAGATGGAAACCTTCTGTCTAGTGAGACTAGCAGTAAGGTCTCTACGTAGACCATAGTAAGTACCTAGGGCATGATAATTACCTCCTGGTTTCAGTTATCAAGTGAGTCAAATAGAGAAGAGTATACAACATCAATCTCAACTTTTTTAATAGTTAAAAACAAATTAACCCTTTTCATCCAGAACAAAAAGCCAGTCCAAGGAGTAGTTTGAATGTGACAGTGTTTTCAGGCAAGACTGCAGGGCACGCATACTAGACTGCAGGGCACGCATACTAGACTGCAGGGCACGTATACTCAGAGTGACTTTGGACATAAAACAGTGCTGCTGATGAGAAACAAATGGAACATGTGTTGAATTAGTAGATTTGTTCTAAGTATTTATTACCATAAAATACTTGTTTTTTTGTAGCTTCTGTAAAGCACTCCATTAGATATATTTTCAATAAATAGTTGTGAAATGAAGCCACTGTGGTCAGCATGCAGTTCAGAGGAAGGCCTGCAGGAAGTGGTCCATTGCAAGTAGATCTGTACTGAACAGCCTTTCCGTTCTCCTGGTTCAGCTCATCGATGGGCACTTTGACACCAAGATTGGACACAAAGTGGAGAGTGAGAGTTACCGGAAGATCGCAGATAGCATCGGCTGCTCAACCAACAACATCCTGTTCCTCACGGATGTCACTGTAGGTGAGTGCTGGCTTGATGGCCTGGTGGTGTTGTTGTCATTGTGGTGTAGCACCTGAGTGCTTTAAGGGAGGAGAGGTTTGTACTGGTCAGAGGATGTAGCCACCATGGTGGGGGAGTGTGTCCCTGGAGTGGTTTTCCTTCTCAAATAGCCACAGATCAGGAATCAGATCTGGGCTAGAACCCTCTATTGGCCTGCACCTGCTGGGGAGGCCCTTTCCCAAAGATCCCCAACCTCCTCACCCTTAGCAACACCTGATGGAGACCAGTGTATTCTGAACTGTTCAGGGGACAGTTCAGAATACACCATAGCAGCTCAGCTCTCTTATGTGTGGTATCCTAATGTGCCATAATTGGATGTCTGTGCCACCTTCCAAGGGTACATCATGAAATGAGTCAGGGCTGGGGAGGTAGCTCAGTGGTTGAGAGTGCTTGCTGTGCAGCCACGAGGACCCGAGTTCAAATCTCCAGCACCCACACAGCATAGCCTTAGTGAAGAGCGGTATGTTCTGGGAGCTCGCTGCTCAGCCAGCCTAACTCAGGTGAGAAGTTCTAGTTCAGTCAGAGACTCTTGCAAGAGAGTGAGGCCAAGATAAAATGATTATATGCATACATGAACCTGCCACAGTGGTGCCTGCTAACAAAAAGAAAAGTATGTTTTCAGTCCAAATTTCAGCTTGGTGGAATTTTATAATCTGGGCAGATACTAGCATTCACAGTGGCTTGTTACCCTGAGGTTTGGAACAGCAGACTTGGTGAGGACCAGGCTGTCTCGTGTGTGTCTGGCTACACTGGAATTCTGTAAACTGCTTATATTCTTCCACAACATGGAAAGTTTTTCTTTTATACACCTGATTGCACTGGAGGAGAAGCAGATACAGCAAGCCAAGGCTATTTTGTTCTTTAAAGTTGTACTTATTTTTATTTTTATTTTATATTTATGGATGATTTGTAATACCCATATGTCTGTATGTTGCGGGTATGCTTGGTGCCTTTGGAAGCTGGATGAGATTATTGGATGCCCACCCTGGACCTGGAGTTTCAGATGGTTGTGAATCAACACATGGGGTTGGGAATTGAAGCCAGGTCCTCTGGAAAAGCAGCCAGTGCTCTTAACCACTGAGCCATTTCTCTGGCCCGAGACTTATTTTATAACGTGGAGCCAGACCATGTGAAATCGATAGCTGGGACACCGGCACTCTACACTGGAACATTTGCTAGTTGTTCTTCTCTGGGGAACCTCTTTTTGATTTGAAGCTGTCCTCTACTGTTGAGGGATTTAGGGGAGCAGTATAAGGAGACTCCCTCCGCGTCACTATAAGCTTAGGGCGTGTGCAGAGTTTCTGTGAAGAATGATTGTTTGCCGACCTTTTCCTGTGTTGTCCTGATAAGTTTAGCTGGTTTAGCTTGAATTTATTTTGCTTACTTCTCATTTCAATAGCACTTTCCATGGTTGATTTTCCCACAGTCATAGAATTAAAGGTCTGTTCTGTGGCTACACCCCAGGCAGCCGTCTCTGGAAGTTGAATTTCTCTTGTGATCCCAGGTCTTTCTCTGGCTTTGGTTCTGTTAAGGATTGTAACTCCCAGGGCTGGTGGCTCGTGCCCTTAGCCGAGCTGTCTCATGCCCATAACTCCTCAAGACTGCCTAGGCCTTCTTCACCGGTTTGTCTTTAGGCACTTTTTAACTTGTGTACACCTGCAGTTTCAAGTCTTTCTTGTTTCATTTAAGCCATGCCTTAAGGCTGATTAATTTCTTTTTTTTTTTCTTTTTTTTTTTTTTTGGCTGATTAATTTCTAACTTGAGTAAAAGCAGATTATACAGTGAAGGAACCAGAGTAGATATTCCCAGCTCTGGCTTTGTTTGTTGTTGTTTTGAGACAGGGTTTCCCCATGTAGTCCTGACCATTCTGGCATTTGCTTCTGCTTCTCAAATGCTGGGATTAAAGGCATGGACTATGCACCATGTCTGGCTATAGTCCCAATGTTAAAAAATAGGGTAAGTTAGCCTTAAATAAAAATCAGCTGTATTTAGATGTCCAGTAAGGATAACCTGTGCATGCACACACACTACACACACGCGCGTGTGCGCATACACACACACACCATCAGCTCCCACCCATTTAGTCAGGAGGGCCGGAACATGGATGTTCCATAGCTGGGATGGGAAAGGTAGAGGCTGCTTGCTTTACTTTTCTGTTGTCTCTGATCCTGTGGGTCTTTTTGTACCGCGTATCCATCCCTTCACTGCCAAGGCAGAGCATAAAGCCAAGCTGATATTCCCATTGATACTAAAGTACGCAAGAGGAAAAGTAGAGGCTTCTTGGAATTGTAGCATGTAGTGTCTGCAGAGCACACTTGAAGTATTTAGTGCCTGGCTCAAGAGTTAGCAAGCCCTTTCTCTAAAGATCGGATAGTGACTGCACCTTTCAGTTCACAGAGTCTCTGTCAGCTCTTCAGCCCTGTCTCCATAGTGCAGGGTTGGTCACAAACGGTATACAAATGAACAGGTGTAGGAGCGTGCCAGCACAACATCACACAAGTGGCATGCGGGGTTACCAGCCTTCATTTTAGAGCATTGGACATTGTGTCAGACTGGCAGTTGGAAGTGTTAGGCCTGCTGCTTGCTTAGCTCTGTTTCAGTGTCTGTAGACGGGTCGGGGGAATGATGCAGGCTCCTCCTAGTCGTGAAAAACAAAGAGAATGGGGCGGCATGAAGGCGGGGCTCCGTTGTCCTTGTGTTTGTCAAGAGTGGTTCCTAGTACATTAGATGTATTTAAAGATGATGCTAGCTGTGGATTCACATAGAAATCAAATGGAAAGAGGACTATGATCCGGTGTGTGTTAGAGGTTTCCTGTAACACCCGGCTGACCTAGTCTAATGTGACTGCTCTTGTCTTTTCTCTCTTCACCCAGCACCATCCCAGTCGCTCATCATAAGGTACCCATAGCCTAAGGGAGGGGGTGAACAGTCATAAAGCGTCTTGTTAGGACAGCTAAGTACGGGCTGTAAGAAGCACACAGGCTCTGCAATGCAGGGTGATGCTGCATGTTTTCAGTGGAATTTTGAAGAGTAGGAATTGTGGAGTCTAGGCAGGGGCATGGCATGTTGGGGCCTGAGGTGAGAGCATATACTTTACCTACATTAGATCATAGGACTCCTTTGGCCTAATCTACTTAATAATTGGTGTTAGACCCCGCAGCCTGCCCTTTGAGAAACAGCTCAGCTCTTTGGGGTAACTTGCAAGAATGAACAAAGGGCGAGGGCCGGAGCAGGCCTGTATTGCATTTATCAGTGGTTCTGATTAAAGCACAGTAGAGGATGGCTGTTTTCTGTCTGTCACGTACAGTTAGGTGCTCCTTAGCGTAGAATTTATGTCTGTAAAGACTGTAAAGATGAAGCTGTCTTCCTCACTGCAACAGAGGCCACGCCGGCTCACTTCCTGTTGTCCCCCCCTGATGACTTGTGTCCTCTCAGGTCCTGGGTCTTACCTGTGCTCTGATTTCACAGAGGCCAGCGCTGCTGAGGAAGCAGACGTGCATGTGGCTGTGGTGGTGCGGCCTGGCAATGCGGGACTCACTGACGACGAGAAAACGTACTACAACCTCATCACGTCCTTCAGCGAGCTCTGCCTGCCGTCTACATAGAGCAAGGTCTGAGGAAGGTTCCCTGTCCCCTAGTGTCTAGCTTTATTCTAATTGTAAAAGTAACTTACCGTGTACACACAGACGTATGCAAGAGTATATATGTGGATCTGTGCTCAGATTAATTTCCATGGGCACATAATGTGAGAAAAGTTGTCAGTTCCATGAGGACCAAATTCATGTAAAGATACTTTATCTGCAGACATAAATCTAAGTCTTACCAAGGCCAGAGTGTTTTTGATAGAAGAAACTGCAAACATACAGATCAAATTTGTGACGTTTATCAAATCGTTTGCCAAAATGGAAAGCTAGTTTTGAGAAATTATTATCTAGATACTGTGTTATTTTAAAGCCTGGGCATGCTTCAAAGGCACCATAAGAAGAGCCCACAGTCCCCATCCTGAGAGTGTGCATCCAGCTGCTGCACTAAGACTCAGAGAGCACATCTGGGAGAGGTGGTCTGCTCAGTCAGGATGGAACGTGCTAGCAACACGAGCCTGCCACTGAGCAGTGCTCATGGAACAGCTGAGGCCGCCGTGAAGGGCACCACTAACCCTCCAGTGTTATCGTGTTTTAGAGTTACCTTTCTGTGTCTTAACACAGTTTGAGAATATATGTTAATGACTATTTTTTTTAAAAAAAAGTGTTTTATTGAAACCAGTGTAACACGAAGAGCTCCAATGTGTAATCCTTCCTCTGAAATGGATGTAAAGATGTTCCTTTTATAACAGCAGTGTTTATCTTGAAGCTACTCTGACAGGGTTTCCTGTCAGTTCTGTGTAATTAATTAATAAAGGCATTTTCTTCTTTCAGTTTCATATAGACGTGTGGATTGTACCTCGCTCTGTCAGAAGTAGAGAGGAAAGGGAGGCTGAAGCAACCGCAAGAACTTCCTTTAGGAACTGAACTGAACTTCCTTTAGGTTTTGCATTGAGTGTGTGATATGCATGTCTGTTTTAACAGGATATAAATGAACGTTGCATAGCTTCAACTTGTATTTGAATGTTTCAGTTTAATTCAGGCAACATTCAGTGTGTGAGTGAAGTTTCTTGGAATTTTGATAACCATGGTTTTTTTGCTGCCACATTTTAATTGGTGTGTGTGTTTGTGTGTGTGTGGGGGGGGGGACAGTTTATCTACCATCTGGGGCAGAGGTGAAACTCAGGTCATGGTTCTTGCTAGTGCCAGGAGTCTTTATCTGCTGAGCCATCTCTTTTGTGTTTTGTTTTTCTGAGACAGGGTTTCTCTGTGTAGCCCTGGCTGTCCTGGAACGTGTTCTGTAGACCAGGCTGGCCTCGAATTTAGGGATCCGCCTGCCTCTGCCTCCTGGGATTAAAGGTGTGTGCTACCACCGCCATCTCATTTTTTAAAAAGCTATATTAAAAAATACTTAAAGGAAATAGTTATTTTTTGTAATTAAGAAAATCGCATAGTAATCATTTTGGGGATGCATTGAATAAGGGGTAAAGTCTTGAAATATGAGGAGGAAGGGGATAGAAAAAATGTTACGTTGATTGAGATTTTGTCACTAGGAAATAGAATAAATTCATGTTAAGTCCTAGAAATGGGAGTAATTTCTAAGTGGTGAAATCCCATCCTAATGAAAGGATTCCCTTCACCTGTACCTTTATATTTGTAGACAAGTTCACGGGCACATCGCAGAACAGATTAACCTTTAATAACAGTAATTAGAAAAGTAAGGAATTGAGAGACAGCCTGGTGTGGTGGCATGTCCCTGTAATCTCAGAACTTCCCCAGCTCTGGAAGAGAGCCTTTAATTTTAGCAAAGATAGGAACTCTGAGTTCAGTGCCAGCTTGTCTACATGAGGAGTTCCAGGACATCCAAGGCTATAGAGTCTCAAACAAAAAACTAATCAACCAAAAAAACATTCTCCCCCCCAAAACCCAAACCAGACCAAACAGACAGAGAAACATCTTTAAGGGGCGGGAGATGGCTCAGTGGTTAAGAGCACTGTCTGGCCTTGCAGAGACCCAGGGTTTGGTTTCTAGCATTCACATGGTGGCTCACAACCATCTAACTCCAATCCCAGGACATCCCAGGACATCTGACACCTTTCCTTGCACCAGGCACTCATGTGGTCCACAGACATACATGCAGTGAGAACACTCATGTGTGTACAAACTTTTGTGGTTTTGGTCTCTCTGTTTATAGAGAGGATGGGGACAAGGGACTCCAGAAAAGGCACATGTCAAGCCAGATCTATTCTGGTCGTTCTCCCTCAATAGCATTGACTTCCAAGTTACTGTTTTAGGGAGCGAAATCTCAGAAGCTGATTCTCTAATCAGTAGTTCTGGAGCAGAGAGGTTTGCTGTTTGGGCTGGCTGTTTGCTGAGTCAGTGCTGTTTACAGGGTAGTTGACAGCAGGGCTTTAATGTCAGTGTGACTGCAGGACCAGCTCTGCCCAGCAGGTGGTGCTGCTTCCCCACAGTCGTGTTGAAGGGCTTATCAGATGAGAACTGGCAGGGAGCTGGAAGCCTACTGAACAGTTCATTTATCTTTAAAAGCTAGTATCACGCTTTTGCAGGAGCAGAGGAATTGGGCAGACTTTTGTCAGTAATGCCAACCACAACCCACCCACTAATCCCCTTCCCCTCTTGTGTCTAACACATTTTAAAAAACACTTGATTTGGGGGTAGGCCAGTTCTAGCAGCAGTGTATAAAGGGGCTTGTTTTCACATTTTTTTACTCCTATCAAAAAATTCTAAGTATAATATGTACCATAACACAACATTTGTGCCTTGATGTCAAAATTATAGCTATCTTCAGGAATACTTAACAATAATTTGTAAAGCTTGGCCTGGTGGCTTATAATTTTCCCTGCTAGAGGCCAGCCTAGTTTACATAGGGAGTTCCAGGCTTGTAGCAAAGGCTACGTGGACTCTGTCTCAAAACAAAACAAAAAACCCCTGCAGTCCTTGCTAATAGAGTAATGAGTAATGTCTGCCCTTGAGGTGTCACTCGGCTTTAGTCTGTCCAGAGGACTGAGCTTGCTATGAGGGACATCTCCTCAGTCAGAGTACACTCATTCTAGAGACGTTTGGAAACTAAATAAAGACAACACAAAGTGTGGGAGGGCGGGGCTTGTTACCTAACCGTGAGAGAACAGATAGAAAAGGAGCAGAGAATACTGTGTGCCGATTAAATTTAGAGATTTCGACAGAACTGTTGGGACGAGAGAATCGGGAGCCCAGTGGCTGGATGGAGTTAGAGTGTGCTGAAGAGGCCTGATCTTAGGTTGTTGGAACCTAGTGAAATACTTAGACTGTTCTCTACATGTGGTCAAAGCTACTGGAGAATTCTGAGCAGGAGACACCAGGGACGTAAAGAAATTGTGTTCGGTGGAGAATGGATTGCTATAGAAAGAGTGGAGAGTTGGAAGCAGAAAATACTTGAGTATTTTTTTTAAAAAAGATTAGTTCCGTGTGTGTGTGTGTCTTTGTGTGTGTATATGTGTCTTTGTGTATGTGCGTGTGTGTGTACGTGTGTGTATACATTCACGCCAGCCATCATGTGCTTGTGGGTGGAGGCCAGAAGATCTCCTGAAACTGGAGTTACAGGTAGTTGTGAGCCATCTGATGTAGGTGCTGGGAACTACCCTTAGGTAGGTGTTCTTCAAGGGCAGCAAGTGTTCTCTGCTGCTGCTCCGTCTCTTAAGGTCCCACATAGGTATTTTGACCATGAGGGAATAAGGCATTTTACATAAACCAATGGAAGACTTAGAGAAGGGGTAGTTAGGGGAAGCACCCCAGGAAGCGCCACCGTGGTAAATTCAGGAACTGAATGTCATTGTGATTGTCACAGTGGTTCACTCTGAAGCGGGCCACGTGTAGAATACAAGCCCGCTGCTTGCAACTTCTCTAAACACTTGCATTTTAGTGACCTTGTGGTGAGATTGTTTTCCTTTGTAAGCCCACCGGGTCTCCTGGAGTAATCTGTTCCAGAGCCTCCTGTAGGTATGTGTGGGCAATGGTTTTCATTTTCCAACTTTGATAATGGCTCTGTCTGCTGGCTCCTGTATCAGAGACTGTTGTAGTGAAGGGCTAGCAGTGGCTGGAGACAGTGACTGAATGTGTAAAGTGGAAAGCTGATGTAGATACGCATCCAGAGGCCTGACTGAGGTTCAGGGCTGATCGGCATAGAAATACTGTTAAATTGTGGGGTTTTGATTGGGGGAAGAATTAGCACTGAAGTTTTAACTTTTGAGATCAAGCCTTGGAAGGAAGCAAGCCAAGCAGATGAGGAAGAGACTATGAGTCCTGACAGTAATGGAAGCGAGGGTCTACCTTCACTTTGTTCTCTCTCTCTCTCTCTCCTCTCTCTCTCTCTCTCTGTCTCTGTCTCTCTCTCTCTCTCTCTCTCTCTCTCTCTCTCTCTCTCTCTCTCTCTCTCTCTCTCTCTCGGGTTGCAGTCTGTGTTACTAGGTGTTAGACTTTCAGTGTGTCTGGGAGAGGTGGAGGAAGGGATCGCATATAAGCCCGTATCAGCCAACAAAACACCAGGACTTCTCAAAGCCCTAATTCACCAGAGACATTTTTCTGATCTTTCCTAACAAGCTTTTTGGCCCAGTCTATTGTTTGCCCAACTCATCATTCCATTTAGCTGTGCTTAATTTTTGTCTTTAACTATTTCAGCAAACTGTCTTGGGTAGCTGCCTGGAACTGGCGGAGTTCCAAGCTAGGGAAGGTAAAGCCAAACCCTTTGAGCTGTTACAGACTGGTTGCTGTGGTGGCCTGCCAGAACTGTTCCTTGGAATTCCTATGTTCAAGTCCCAGCCTACTACGACCACATTTTGGGGTAGGTTTTAGGAGGTAGGTAGATGAGATGACGTGTAGTAGCACCTCTCTAAACCCTAGTACTCTGGAGGCTGAGCCAGGAACCTCTAAATGTGAGTTCCAGGCTAGCAGGGCTACTTGGTAAGATTCTGTCTCAATAAATGACATAAGTAAATAAATGTCATAAGGATAAGGCCCTAATCCAATAGGGTTGGTGGCTTTATTAAGGGAAGAGACGACAGAGACCTTGCTTTCACCATTTTCTTAGTCCATGACTGTCTCATTTCTCTCTTCCTCTCCTCCTTGTCTACCTTGTGAGGACACAGTGAAAGGGGTAACATCTATAAGTCAGGAAAAGCCATCACCCTGAGCCAGTTCTCCTGCTACAGGGCTCTCACTGTTAGGCTGTGTCGCTTCGAGAGCTCTTCTGTCAAGTGCTGGAGTTTGCACACTTGCTCCTGGGAAGCTAGTTACCATGCTGTGTGGGAGCCCAGATTCACACCACCTGCAGAGGGACCCAGGCTCCAAGCAGACAGCCAGCCCTTGCCTGCAGCCTCAGGCTTTCAAGTCAGCAAGCTGAGAACCTGATACCACAGAGCAGAGAAAAGATGTCCCTGCTGCACCAGCAGTTAGGGTAGAATCTGGGAGTCAGTGAATGGTTTTCTGCGGCTGCATCTTATGACTGTGTGTCCAGCAGTCACGGGAACTAGAACAGTCATCAGGTGAGTCAATGTTACCAAGCAGTGCATGGGCTCTCCTCCCCAGCACAGGCCTGGGCCACAGTGTCCAGTTAGGAATGTCAAGATGATCCCATTCTCCTCCCCAATGGTGGCATGGCTTTTCTGCAGTATCTTAGGGTTTTACTGCTGTGAACAGACACCATGACCAAGGCAACTCATATAAGGACATTTCATTGGGGCTGGCTTACAGGTTAAGAGGTTTAGCCCATTATCATCAAGATGGGAGCATGGCAGTGTCCAGGCAACCATGGTGTAGGAGGAGCTGAGAGTTCTACATCTTCATCTG